GGATATATCTAATAATTGACATTTTTTTTTAATATATTCTTCTTTCTTTTTATTCTTCCTTTATTTCTTTTTTCATTCTTTCAATTATCTTTTTGATTGAATATACTTCTTAGTTATTATCATGTTGTTTCTTTTACCTTCATATTTTTAACTATTTCTTCATATTCTCCTTTTCCCATTTACTTCATATCCTTCATATCCTTTTTTTCTTTATCATTTCTTGTTAGTATTTATGTTTGTTTGTATAACAATTACCATCATCATATTTACCTGTTTCTTATTTATTTTTCTTTCGATTTTTTTATCATGCACATTGTTATGCCTTTTATTATAATTGACATTCATTCTCTTGTATAATGACGAATTTCTATGACTTGTTTGTTTTTCTTTACAATAAACAATGATATTACTCAATAATAATTGCAATAATAATTGTATGTTTTGTATAGTAAAGAATCTTAATAAAAATTAAAAATGAAAAGAAATAAACAAAAAACTTAAAAGTATACTTCACGTAAATTAGTATGTGTGAATATGTTCGTTGGAGTGTTGACTATATTGAGCAAAATGCAAAACATGTCAAAGTTAATCAAATAAAATTAAAAGAAAAGATAATTCCATTACTAGAAAAGATTGAAGTTGAAACCTTTGATGAGAGTATTCACCAAGCACCTAATGACATTGAATCACGACTAAGATATATTTTAGTTGTAGACGCATTAAACTTTTGTTTTTGGCCAACCGAAGGGTTTGAATATGATGATTTAACAAAAGGGTTGTCACGTCTTGAACACGACCACCCTGAAGTTTTTGAGCCTAACCAAATGAAACATGTATCCAGTTGTTTACTCTCTCAGTACTTAGTTCATAACAACCGCGTTATTTCAAATATTGAAGAACGAACTCGATTGATGAGAGAAGTAGGTGAAGTTTTGTGTAATAGGTTTGACCAAAAGGTATTAAATTTATTAGAAGAATCAAAATATGATGCCACAACTTTAGTTTCTCTTATTGCAAAAGAATTTCCTGGGTTTAGAGATTCAACCATTTATAAAGGAAGACAAGTATTCTTTTATAAACGAGCTCAAATTGTAGTTGGTGACATACAAGGAATGTGTGGATGTATTAAAGGGTTGGAACAATTAACGGGATTTGCTGATTACCGTATTCCTCAAGTATTACTTGGATGGGATGTTCTTGACATAGAAGATCAATTAAAACAAAGGATTCTTGATAAAAAAGAAATTCCATCTGGATCTGAAGAAGAAATAGAAATAAGATGTACTGTATTATCAGCTATAAAAATGATTCAAGCTATATTCCTTGAAACCAAAAATTCATTAATTGAAGGACATCGCATTGACTGGTTCTTGTGGAGTTATGGAGAAAAAAATAAAGAACAACTACCACCACACCACCGAACACAAACCATTTTTTATTGAGAAAAAGGATATTCGTAATTAAACTATTTAGTCAAACAAAAAATCTTTAAGTTTCATTTCATTAATTCACTTAAATTGAGTTCAATTGTGAAACAAAATCTTGTAATTTCTGATAAAGTTTAGAACTTGAAAGCACACTTTCATGTAATCTTAGGAAGGTAAATCCATTTAATTTCTTAGAAGCAACTTGATTAATAGTTCTAGATAAAGCCCCTTCATCAAACCAAAATTCATTACTATTACCCATCATATCAAGTGCGTTTTCACCTCTTTTGTCACATTTAGTTACAACACCAAATACCTCAGTAACAAGATCTTCTGGTCTACTCTTTGGGTCTGCTTTTAAGTCTGTTGGATTAGCCATTTCTAAACAAGTAAATGTAAATCGTGCCCCATGTTTTCCTAAAATATCGTTGATTTGAGAATAAGTAGAATAGCCATTAACTTGATAATAACCAGCGGTTGCTTCGGCAGCATGAGAAGAACTACCATACCACCAATGAACTCCGGAAACTTTAGCTGCGAGAGGAAGTGAGGTTCCAAAAGCTTTTCTAGCAGCAATTATTACACGGTCAGTGTGGTTGAGCATAAGTTGAGTATAAAATTCAAGGAAAAATTTACCATAGTCACTTGCATAGTTGTTTGGTTTATTATCATCAAAGAAATTAGTATCACTTGGCTTACTATTATAAACACCAGCATCCGTTGGTATATGTGCCCATTCACTATGTGACTTAGCTTCAGCAGCACGTTGTAACAAACTAAGAGAGTTTGAGTCACTCACTTGGAACTCTCCAATGCCAGGGTATTGCCATCCATTAGCAGCACAGTATGATGGATATCTAATTTCTCCCGATGGTCCAACTCCGATTTGTATTTCATCAATAACACCATCAGAAATATAAGACTTAAATTCAGTACTAAAAGCGTTCATAAAGTCATAATAAAAATCAATTGGTGTTCTTCCACCTTCAACAGCAACATTGTCTAAAGCAAAATTAATATACTCATCATTTACATTTCCATGAGAATCTTTAAAGAAACCATCAAGTTTCTTTACAGCATCAATTGCCCATTTAGGAATTGGAATATTACAAGTATCTCCAACATTACCTCCACATTTATGGAATGACATAACAGGTTGGTATTTTAAACCAACATTCTTAATCATTTCCACTAATTCGAGATAATACTTAAAGTTATAATTTTTTGGAGATGTTTCCACTAATCCCCACCAAACATCTCCCATAACACCAGTAAATCCAGCTTGTTTAACTTTCATTAATTGAGATTGTAATAATGCTTTATTTTTAAAACCAGTGCTTGATATAATATCTAATTCAAGCATTCCATTAACATCAACAGCAGAACATCCAAAGATGAATGTTAAAAAATAGAGTATCATATTTGTTTTTAAGTTTTAAGTATATTTTTCAAAGATTTTATTTGTTGTTGTAGTTATTCATTTTAATAATAATTTATTCTATTATTTATTCTATTTCAGTTTATGTTTTATTTAAAATAAGAGATATTTGTAATGATAAATTAATTGAAATATAAGTTAATTTTCATAGAAAATATCTTTCTTTCCTTTCTTTGATTTTTTATCTAATAAGGCATCAGCCTTTTTTTCTTTGTATTTTTCTTTCTTTTCTTCTTTAGGAGTAGGAGCTTCACCTTCTTCTTCTTCAAGCAAAATTTTACCGTAGTTTTTAGTTTGCTTTGAAACTTTATTTTCTTCAAATGAACTAACTTTCTTATCATCTTTTACTTCTTTTTCTTCATCACTATTTTCATCATTAAGTCTTTGTTTTTTCTTTGGTTTCTTCTCTTTTACAATTTCTTTTTCTGCCTTCTTTTCCATTTTTAATTTCTTCTCTTCCATTTGTTTTTGTTTCTTTAATTCTTTCTCTTCTTTCTTTAATTCTTCTTTTGTTTTTGATTCGGTCTTTACAGGTGGTTGTGCATTAAGAATTGTGATAGTTTTATTTAATGCATTAGCTAATTCGTTAATCATTTCAACTATTTCTTTTTCATTTTCATTTAATACTTCTTTTTTGAGAAGAGCTTGTGCTTTTCCTTGAATAGTATTTGTTGTGCTTATAATATTTTCCATTAACTGAATCTGACTGAATCTTGAAAAGATCAAATACTTCGTTTTGTTAAATTCATTTCTTTTATATTTTGTAAAGCCATTTTGATGACAATTTGAACAAAGTCTACCAAAGTTACTTTAATACATAAAATAATAATTTTACACTTCATTTTAGTTATTTTGACTTCAACGATTAGTTATTTTCTTATCTATTTTATTTAAACATTCTCTAAAAAATCAATTTTAATATAGGTTGTTAAGCGTCTTATTTTATTTCTTTTAGAAAGACAAATCTTTATCATTTTTAATACAAGTTGTTTTTTACTAATTTTTAATGGAATTATAATTTACTATAAGCACACTTATTATTTTGTTATTTATTTAATTGTAAGGATATTTTCTTCGTTTTATTTCTACAGTTAGGATATTTCTATTGTATAAAATAAATTTGTTATCATTTTATTTGATTAATACGTTATATTATTTTATATTTTTGTATTGTGAAGTAATAGGTTAAGACTATTTTTATTTTGTTGATTCCTTAAATACTTTCTACAATATAAAATCTATTATTCTTCCTTATTAATTGACCTATGAAATAAATTTATTCTCTTCTTATAACATTTGGATATAAAGGAATATTTTAATTTATTCTATAATTTTACAGTTATTAACTCTTTCATTATTTACTCTTTTAGTTTAAATAATATTCGTTTGATATTATTCCATACCTAATCTCGATTCAACAGTTATCATTTTTGACTTATGTGTAAGTTATATTGGTTATAGTTTAGTAAATCTATTTCTATTTTATCTATTCATGTTGTTAGCTATTATTGATGACATTCTACAAGATAACTTCTTATTTTTTATCAGAAAAATTAACAAATATCAATACAAACATATTTTAAACACCGAAGGAAGATTAAGGTACAATGTTTTTCAGTTTTTGTTGGAAACATAAAAAACATTTAGTTCAAAGAAAAAAGTAATAGAAAAGAATACATTCTTCACTAAAGTAGAAACAAATACCTTCTAATCTCTAAAGAAGTGAAAACCCAAAACATAAGTAATAAATAGAGATTATCTAGGAAATGGTTGAAAGAAACTAAAGAGTAATAAAAGTATAAATGACACTATAGAATATAGATAAAAAAGAATTTTAAGACGATGGATGTTATAAAATGATTATATTAATTACAAAAAAAATAAGAAGGATAATCAAAAAAAGAAAAAGAACCATTATAATTACTCAAATATATATATTAATGAATTCATTCATAATATTTCTTAAAATGAAATATATAATAAATGATTTAGTTTAAAATATATAAATTAGTACATATTCAAAAGAATATGTTATACTGTATATCTTAATTAAAAGAATGAATATAATTATGTTTCATATAAATATTAATATAAAATAAATAATAAAAATAAATAACAATAATTATGATGAATAGAAAAATTAAATACTGTTACAAACAATAATAATAAGGTAATGAACAAATATAACAAAAATATACTTAGGTAAATAATAACTTAAAATTAATTAATGAAAAGCAAGAATAAATAGACAAAACTACTTACACATACACTAAATAATTACTTACTTTGCTAAAATATATATATTCAAAGTCTTTGTCCTATATATTAATGCCATTATCGTTACTCAGCTAAAAATTAATTTTGCTAATTTACTTTTAAATATAATAAAGAAATATTAAAAATTTAGTTCTAAAAAAAGATTAAAGAAAATGCGATTGATAAAAGTATTTATATATTGAGTGAATAATTTCTATGACTTATTTATAATATTTAAAGAAAAAAATTAAATAACAAATCTTAACAAAGATTGAACAGTATATATATATAGAAATCTCAAAAAACGAAAATCTGTTACTTAAAGAAATTAACAGGAATTTTTTAAAAGGGGTATAAATCTTAAAATATCAAAAAAATCTATTTTTATATCTTTTCAAACTTTCCATTCTCTTTCTTATTTTTTTTTTCTGAATTGTTAGTTTGAATTATCAAACCTTTTATCTTCATTTTAGATTATTTCTGTTTAATAAAGATATTCATTGGCAATAACTAATAACATTTGTAATAAAATCTTTATTGAATATTGATGAAATAATAACAAAACTAGATAATTTCAATATTATTTATAAATTTAGAACTTCAAAACAATTTTATTAATATTTTCATATCCAAAATTATAAAAATGAAATTTGTCTCTTCTCTAAAAAAGACTAAAATTTTAAAAGACTATGGGGTAAAAAAATATTGAAATTTACAAGAATAAAAATAAAAAAAATTTGAAATATTTCTTTAAAAATATTTTAAAATAGAAAATAAAAATATAAAACTATTTTTATCCGTACAAAGAGTAAATGTTTAACGTTTTGTAAAAATATTTTTTTTCATAAAAGATTAGCAAGTCTTGTAACCGTTATACTCAACTTCATTTTTTCGCTATTTTTTTACTTTTACAAAATGGTTTGTAGATGATCATTTAAACTCTCTTATCTTAATATTTATATAATATCAGTAAAGATGGCCTTTACAACATCTATTGGAAAAAGACCATCTCCATTAATAAGAGACATCCAAACGCCTTTAGACCTAAAAGATTGTGATTTGGAAATTATTCAAATCCTTTCAAAGACTGATACTCATGATGGAAGTTATGTCTATGTTGATGGAGACGGAGTTATCTCCAAATACAGTAAACCTATTGATGATGAGTTGTTATCATTAATTCATTCTTCTGACTTCTCTAATTAGTTCATCTTATTCTTCTTAACTCTATTTATTTTATAAGCTTTTTATGACTTTACTTCCTATTTTATTTTGATTTTATATCGATGAATGAATTTATGATTCATTTTTCGCAATGTATAACTTAATAATTAAACACTTTAGTCTTTAACTCTTAAATACTGACTTTAAACAAATCAGAAAATAAAATTACAACTTGATTGGTAGAATATACTATTAATTATAGTGTTTTATTATTTATTATATAGTTTTATTTATGAATCTTTTTATGTAAGTTATATTGAATTCTCCTAAAAAAATAAATAAATTAAGAGTAAATTTTATAATGAAATCAAATAAAAATTCTAAACAAATTTTATTGAATCAAAACTTCTTTAATTTTTTTATCTATTTATCAAACCTTCACTTTTCTTTTAGTGAATTAGATCAAGTATTTATTATCTTCATCTTTTTTTTCTCTTTCCCTTTATGACCTATTTGTTTGTTTTTTATTAACGATTTAAGTAATTTTCTTTTTCTTCCGTTTTATTCTTTATACATGACTATTTACTATTTTAAGTTTATTGTACAATGAAAGAAAATTTTAACTTCTTATTCACTTACATAAAAATTAATTAAAATAAAACCCATACATATGACACATTTATGATAACCTTTACCAATTTTCATATTATGAATTTTAACCTTGTTGTTAGTACTTATCCTAAATATCTTGACTTAAACTTCTTCATTTAATTTTGTGGTATTGGTACCTTTGTTTTTTCTTTGACCATTACTTAGTTTTAATATCACTCATTCAATCGTACTAATTATTATATTATATCAATAATCTAATTCAATACTCAATAAAAATAATACTAATAAATTATATTAAGTATTTAACTTCCTAGAGTTATTACCACAGTTTAATTACCAATTTTACTTTTCATTTTAGTTATTTGTTACTATATAAAATAATTAATAAGTTAAATTTATCTTTTTAATAAATTGAGTTTTTTTTTAATGAAAAAGATTAAATCATACAATAAAAAAACTCATTTATTTTTTTAACTCATCTATTTTAAATGTAAAAAAAGATCTTTAACTTTGATAAACAAAAGATTGATAAACAACTATTAAAAAGAAATTTAATAAAACAAAGAGATATTAAATTCTTTGAATCAATGACCTTCTTGACTTTCAAATTTAAATTACTTGAACTAATTAAAAAACAATAAAATTAAGAAACTAATTTTATTTAAAACAGAATAATTTATAAAATGAAAATAAAATTTTAGTTCTTTTTCTAAGTAACTCAAAATATGAACGATTTAAACATAATATTTTTTTAATAATTGAATGAATGTATCATTTATTGTAACGAAATTAAAACAGAACAAAAGTATTATTATTGATCATCTTCTTCACCTACATTTTTTATTTGACAATCAGTAAATTGAATTGATTTGAGAGTATTTAATACACTTGTCCGAATAGCCTCAGTAGTCTCTGGTTTAAATTCAATACATGAAATTCCCATTGTTACTTCTTCTAATTGAGTCAAATTAGAATTAAAAACAAGTCTTAATTCCCATAAGAATCTAAAATATTCTTCGGGGTTTTTACTTGTTGTTTCTTGTTTTCTATAATGAATTAAATATGTCTTTTGTTGAAGAATACAAGCCACTTCCCAAAACATTGGTTCTATTTATTATAAATATTATTTCATTTATTTCTTAATAAAATATAACAAACGAGAGTCTTTGAAGAACAAATTACCACAAACAATCTTTAAATGCATTGTAGAATTTGCAATAATTTTTTGATTAATTGCTTTTAAAAATGTAATAACAGGTGATGGTACTTCTTTATTTTCTGTTTCTTCTACAAAAACTTTTTTTAAAATTTTTATTAAAAAGGTCTTTTGTACGCTCATGTCTTGGTCATTGACTATTGTTTCATTCCATTCTTTTTCTACTTTTTCTGCTTGTTCTTCCCCTTCAAGTAATTGAGTAACGCAAGTAATAACTTGAAGACAATCACCAGCATTACTTGTTTTATTAACAATTCCATCTTTAGGAAAAAGAGTATCATAATTCCCTTCAGATACTTCACGTACAATAGATAAATGTTTTAATAACCGAGGTAAATCTCCAGCAATTGGAAACGTCTCAAAACTACAATCAGTAATAACTCTTCTTGTACTTTCTTGCCAATCAGGAAGGCTTTTCATAAATGATGAAATACTAACACTACCTCCTTGAGCGTATGATTTTCTATTTGGCTCTTTATATTCTTTCTTTTCCACAACAGCAACAGAGTGTCTCTTCTTCTCATTTTCTTTTTCCTCTTTCCTCTTCTTCTCTTTTTTCTCTTTTTTTTCTTTTTTATCTTCTTTTTCTAATCCTTCCTCTTCAAATTTTGCTGATTTTGATTTTTTCTTTAAAAAGGAGAATATCCCATGTTTTTTTTGCTTCTTCTCCTCTTTGTCTTCCATATTTTGTTTAATTTAAGTTCTAATTTCCATATGAGAGGATCAAGTTTTCCTAAAACTTAGGAACGATAATTTGTTGAGGCTATTTCAAAAAAACCAAAAAAAAATATTTATTTTAATTCAGTATTTAAACAAATGAAAAATATTACGTTCACTATCTCACCTTTCCATTTTCTAAAAAGATTTAACGTTATCTTACTTTTTTGTTATTTTAATCTCGATCTTAAGACATACTAATTCCCTTGATGAATATCGCACCAAATGGAAAGTATATCGTTGATGAAGAGATGTTCATAGAAACCGTAAAGAATATCATTAAAAGAGATTATTTCCAGTCATCTGCTGGAGAAACACCAAACCTCTCTCTGAATGAATACCTATCAAAATATACAACTGAAGATGATGAGTCATTCAGAAAAATTTCTTTCAAAGAATTAAGTCTGTTTGCTCAACAAAATCAAATGGAATTTGACCCAATATCACGACAAATTATTTGTCCAAATCAACTTTTCTTTCCTGCTTCTTCTTTAAGGAAAGTTCCAACAAACAACCAAGACCAATTAAAATATAAGAAAACAGAATTACTTGTTGATTCATTAAAAATTAATGAAACTAATGAAAAATTACATAAAATAGAGAATATTCGTCATTCCCTTAAACTTAGTCAGGAAAAAAAGCCAAAGAAAACAGTTTCGAAAAAGTCATCATTTTTATAATAATTTAAGCTTTCCAGTGATTTGGTCAATAATAGAAACAGGTGCAGGACCAATTCCAAGAACAGTAATAGATCCAGGGACAACTTGTGTTCTTCCAGCATCACAAATTTTTTTCGTAATTAAATTAGATTCTTCTGCTTTCTTTTCTAATTGTTCTAATTGTTCCAAGTTATCTACAACCAGTGCAATCTTAGCTTGACCATAATATCTCCATGTATTTAATGAAATTGGGTCATATTTTTGTGCTTTAAGAACACAACCAACAGCAGCATGACCACATTGTGCTGCAATTTTACCTTTTTGCATTTTTAAGTCTTTTCTAACTAACAACACCATTTTATATTCTTCATTAGTATTTGCTATTTTATCAGTGACTTGACTTACAGACTTAATACACTTTTTATTTCTTTTTAACAACAACCAAATAATAACAATTGTTTGTAATACAATAATAGTAATTAATATTTCAACATTCATTTTTTATTTCAAAGTTAATACTCTTTTCAATAAAACCCTAAACCCAATTCAGAGACATATCACAAATTAAGTATTTTAATTATGCAGTATAGTTTCTAGAGAAATCATTAAGTGCATTTAATATCCATTTATAATTAGGTCGTAGTTCTGGGTGTTGATTCCAACACTTTGTTATTATTCCTATTATTGCAATAGGTATTTTATCTGTTGGAGATAAACGATGTCCAGAAAGTACAAACTCTTTAATTTCTTGTAGTGACATTTCACCATATGGTTTCTTTTTATTAAAAATATGATACATCGTCATACCGAGACTATACACATCGACTTTTGCATCATATTCTTGTTCTTCAATAACTTCAGGTGCCATATACTCAATAGTTCCAACACATTCATTTGTACGTTTTCCATTTTCTAAAACAATGCCACAAGAAAAGTCATGTAATTTGATTAAAGGGAGCCCCATAGTAGGTGAAGCTCTTTTAACTAGTCTTAATTTACTTGGTTTAATATTTCTATGGAGAATATTTTGAGAAGATAAATATTGTAAAGCAGTAACTAAATTAATACAACATCTTGTTAAGAATGGAATAGATAACTCACAGTCTAAAAATTGTTCAATGTTATATTGTGTGTCTGCTTCTAATAACATGAAGTTTGAATGAAAATTTAATCCAATTAATTGAACTATTGAAAAATGATGAATATCCATATATATTGATGTTAAAGCATTAAAATCTTCTTGTACATCATTAAAATTAAATATAAATGTAGGCTCCTTATTATAAAGTGCTTTTTTTCCTGTAACTGTTCCAATTTTAATAATATCTTCTTTATTTTTTGAATGTTCTAAAATAGTAATAAAGTCTTTTTCATTAATTGTATTTGTTTCTCTTTTTATTATTATTTTTGAGTCTTCATGTTGAATTAATTTATTTTTAATTTGAGGTTTACTTCTCATATCTTGATTTACTAATTCAGTTTGTTGTGGGTGTATTAAATTATCAAAAGGTTCTAATTCAAGAATAACTTGTTTGGAAGATACTTTAGGAATAACACCTAACATTTGAAATCTTAGAGTTAATGAACTTGCTTCATTTCCAATAAATGCTTTTTTTTTAACTTCAAATGTAACACTTCCAGTTAATCCAACTGTAATAACTGTATTAAAACAGATAGTAATTGTAACAGACTTTGTACTCTGTCGTTTAATTTTAATTTTTTCTTCATCAACTTCCATTGTATATTTAGGACTTGTACTAACAACTATTGTCATTCTATATAATTCATCAGTTTTATTTATAAATGTAATTGTTTGTTGTAAAGGAACTGATTGTACTGCGTATTGATGACCAAATGTTAATTTTTGTATTGGCTAAAAGAGTATAAGTATTTAGTAAATTTTTTGGATGTAATTTAAACTGTCTTAAAAATGATAAAAGATTTTGTTTTGACAGAGTCATAACTTATCATCCTAAAAAAAAATAACTAATAATGTTATTACAAACAGGACTTAATTCAAAAGGAAATTTTACTTGGGCTCTTGGTCCCATAGAAGATGTTCGCGATTCTTTAGACAGTGACATGTTAAGAAAATTATATTGAAGATTTTTTAGTTTATTTTTGGTATTTTCAATTAGTTTCTAAACTCTTCGTTTTCTTTTTTTAGAATAGAGCGAAAAATTTTATGTTTTATATAACAATAAATTATTTAGAACAACACAATTTATTTCTGTTATATTTATCGTTGTTTAAAAGATAAAGAAGTTGTTAACGATGTAATGAACCTGTTTTAAAAGCATTAGTATATAATTTTGAGAAATACTCCATCCCAAAAGAATTTTCAGAGAAATAAGAAGAGTTACAAGGGGTGTCAAGAACTAATAATTTAGGTTCAATACCTTTTTGATGAGCAACAAATGTTAACATAGCATTTATCATCAGTTGATTAAAAAAATTAAAGTCCGGGTTTTTAGCAATAACTTCTCTTGTAATATCGTCAATATCAAGCCATGCAATTTTGTGAATTTCCATTCTAGTTTTTGGATGAAATGGTGTTGTTAAAGGAATGTGATGACAAAAGAAGTAAGTAACTTTTTTCTTTCCCATAATAATCTCAATTGGATTTTCTTTGACTAAAAAGGGAAGTACATTAAATCCAATTTCTTCTTCTACCTCTCTTACAGCACAAACTACTGGATCTTCTTTAATTTTCATTTTTCCTTTTGGAAATCCCCAACGAGTTGTTCTAAATGCTTGAACTGCAAGAACATGTTGAAGGTCTTCATCCATTAATATTGCCCCATAACATGGGATAGTTGATTTAAAGTTATTAAAGTCACTTAGAAGTATATCTGGTGATGTTGTATTTAATTCATTTTGTAATAGACTTTGTGTTGGTACACAAAAAGCTATTTGTTTTACAAAGTCAATAAATTCAAGACGAGGTAACTCAGGATATAATAATCTGTAAACGTCAATATAATACCACCATGCTTCTTCTATCATTAATAATTTATCATTAAAACTAGGGAGTTTATCAGGAACAAATTCTAATATAAGTAATTGTAGGACTTTAGAAAGAGTTGGAGGAGAAACAGCATTAGATGAAAATTCAAATATTCGCTTCATCTGTAAGAAAAAAAGAAGAAATGATTAAAAGAAGATTTTTTTATAAAAAACTTACATTAAATTAGAGAATGCATCACACCAATTATATTGTTGTTTTTGGGATGAAGCTACAAAATTGTATTGTTTTTCATTAAATTCTACAGCAAATCCATTAATAATAGAACCTATATTTTGGATAAGAGAAATTATAATATGGTCTGTAATAAAACATCGATCTACTTCTTCTAATATAAAGCCTTTTAAAAATTCAACATTTAACCCACTAATTTCTTGATAGAACTTAGCAGTTAACGCCTTCTTATCTAATACTTTTCCTTGGAATGTTTTAATTTTAGTAATAATAAACATTGTATTAAATAAGAAACATACTCTAATAATATCATCATGTACTTTAAATTTCTCTATATCAACTGGTTTTAAAAATCCAAAATATAACAATTCACAATGACCATCAGGTATTTCTATTGTTTTAATAAATAATGTTTTTACAAATCTAACTGCATCACAACGTTCTGCAGAATTTTTTTGACGGTCTATTTCATCTTCAATTCCTTCTATTATTCTAAGTGCACTTTGTACCGCTAAATTATCAAAATGATTATTTGATATGTTCATTGCAAGTTCTCTCATTAATTGTGGATAAACAGAAAAATGAGAAACTGGAGCTAAGATATAAGCAGAAATAGGTAAAAATGAATTTACTACAAATGATGGATTGTTTAGTTTTTGAGAATTGATATAATTGGTTATAGAAAGAACAAGAGAATCAGTCAATTCTTTTGACTGACTAAATACTGGGAAATGGTCAACAAAATATGGGCATCTTAATATATAATTTAAATAAACCCTTAATGTTTGTGCATATTTTTCTAAAATACTTCCAAGTGCAATGCATGACTTTCCTTCAGCATCTTTAATAGGATCTGAATAAGCCCTATCTAATTCATCAACAATTTTCTTTGTTAACATTAATATTGGTTCAAAAAGTTCTTTAAATTCTTTTGCAAAGTCTTTCATTATTGACCAATTAATATTCTTTATATAAACTTCATTAAATTCATTAATAATTCTATAATATTCTCCTTCTTTAACATAAAAATCATAACACACTGTCCTATACATTTCATAATTATCTTTGACAATAAGTGATGTTTTTCTTTTATCTTCAATTTTATTTGGTATAAATTGAATGTATTGTAACTCTCTTTTATCTTTTTTCTTCTCACTTTTTCTAATAGACCCTCGTGGAGTAATTATTGCAGATAATGATAATGGGTTTTGGACATATCGACTAAACGTATCAACAATCTTTTGAGTTAATATAAATCTTAATTTTTGTTTTTTTCTATTAACAATTTCTTTTATTGTCTCAATAAACTGAGTGATATCATCTTCACTAGGTTCATTTGAATCCATCATCTTAACAATACGTTCTACTCTTTTATTTTGTTCTTCTAAGGTCCAAACTCTTAATTGTTGGTCTTGTATTGTTTGTTCTAATTGTAGCTTTTCTTTCTTTAATTCTTCAAATTCTTTAGAACTAGATGTGTCTTTTGGTGGTTCGCTGGCTCTGCCTTTAAAAGAGTCTGTTTTAATTATTTCTATTTTTTCTATTTCCTTTTGTTTAGTCTCATCTTCTTTTTGAATTAATTCCTCTTTCTGTTCTAACTCGACTTCTCTTCTCCTAACCTCACCTTCATGTTCTCTAATTTCATTTTCTCTTCTTTGAATATCATCTTCCCAAGACTGAAGTTCTTCTTCTCTATTTTCTATTTCAATTTGAACCACAAGAACTTCTTTTTCCTTCTGACTAACTTCTTCCTCTTTTTTCTTTAGTATCTCTTCTCTTTGTTTTAACTCTTCTTCTTTTTCTTTTAATTCATGATCTTTTTTACTTCTTGGTGTAAGATTATCAATATTCTGATTAATTCTAACTAATGGCTTTTTTACTTTCATAGTTAATTCTTCATGGGAAAGTGTCATTTGCTGGGATGAAAGAATACTTCTTGATCGTTTGGTTGCCGGAGAAATGAATAACTCATTATGCTTAGAACTTGAAATGTATCTCCTGAGTGGCATCTTCATTAGCCTGTATGGAGTACTTTGTGTTGACATATCTTGATGGAATTCATCCAAAAAATTAGCATCACCTACTGACCGAGACATTACATGTGAAGTTTTACGGTGAACAGAAGGGGCATTACCAAGATGTGGTACATTCTCTTCCTCTAATATTAAAGCATGTTCATTATTTTCATACGACGAGACTAATGGTTGTTGGTCTAGTCTGTGTACTACAAAATCATCACAACTATTAAACTGGTCTATTTGAATAGGTAGTGTTTTTTTTGAAGGAACAACTATATCATTTTGAGTGTGATAAAGTTTTTCTTCTGTTTGTTCAGAGGGTTGGTAATCTTTTATAACAATTGTATTATTCAGGGGAATAGTTGGAATAACAGAATTATCAGTATAATAATGATCAGGTAATTCTGGTGTTTTTGTTTTATTTTCATTATCATCTATTTGGTGAAGAGACATTTCTTCATTAATTGTATTAAAAGATAAAGAAGGGATATTAGAAAGAGTATGACTGTTAATATTTTTTTCAATTAATTCAACTTTTTCATTAATACTTTTTTGGATAAGTGAATCATTTGATTGTTGTATAGATATAACTGACAACTTAGATTCTATTTGATTATTTAACTTAACAAGATTTTGTAATTGTAATTCAATCTCATGTAAAGTTGATTCTTTCTTCACAATTGAACTATGTCTCATTTTTTCATTTTTTAAAGTCCTTACTTGTTCCTTTAATGCTTCATTATCTTCATTTAATTGATTTACTGTGTTTGTCATTTTCATAAATGCCTCTTCCCATTGAGCTTTCCCTTCATTCATAAATTTGTAATTTTCTTGAATCATTTGTACAATATCTTTACCAAAAGAAGAGGTTTTGCGTTGGTGGTCTTTCTTCATCTTATTCGAAGACATTGTCGCAATCACTGACCATACTTTTCTTACTTCACTCAATTGTTGTATACATCGTATTTCATCATACTCCGTATCATTGTTTAAAATAAATGTCCATAAAAATTCTTTAGAAAGACCATTTTTCTTAACATCAGGAATATCCTTCATTTCTTTTTCTTTTTTATTCCAAAACTTAAAAGCACCAAGAGAAGATGGTTGAGAAGGAGCTGCAACTGGCTCACTCATCAAAGTTACAATCTACAGATCTTATAAAATCGAGGTTTTGATTTTTAAATGAAAAGAAAAACCTTTTCAAATTTTCAATTTTTTGAACAATATTTAAAGAAATGTTATTTTAAAAAAATTTATGTTATTTATGATAAGAAAGGATAAAGATAAGAAGAAATAAGTTTAGAATTGCGTTTAAAATTAAAAAAACGAAAACTTAACAACTTTAAAAAGAAAATGACTTGTTTTAATATAAACCAACCTATTTTCTCTGTTGATTTAGAAACAATTATGTCCTATCAAAAATCATCTTATCCAAACGTTTCTATTCCTATTGCTTTTTTATTAATGAAAGACACAATTATTGCATTAGGTGGTAATAAATTAGAAGGGCTATTTAGAGTCCCAGGAAAACAAGATGATATCGATGGTTATAAAACATTATTTAATGAAGGAAAATATGAAATTTATAAAGAATGTAATTGTCATACAATTGCAAGTTTATTTAAATTATTTTTGAGAGAATTACCAACACCTATTATTCCACCTATTTATTATGATAAATTTGTTAATGAAGATGTTGTTGCAAAATTAGATGAAAGTCCAGATAAAGTTATGGAATTATTAAATTTATTACCAAGAATCAATAGAGACATGTTTATATTTATTATTGACTTTCTTCAATTCTTAGTTCCATTTGAGTCATTAACAAAAATGGATATGGATAATTTAGCAATGGTTTTTAGTGCTTGTATGATTATAAATCCTGACCTTGATCCTTTTAGTGCTTTAACTAAAACAAATTTAGCTAAAAATTTAATTTATGAAATGATTCTTCATATGCCAAAATCTGCTATTCAAGAATTAGATTTAAATGTACAAGGATATACTAGTGGTAAAGGAATGGTATTATTAGAAACAGACCCTATTGAATCTTTAAAAGAAGAGACTGAATCAAAAAAAACTAAAGACAAATCAAAAAAACAAAGCGGATTGTTTAGAAGTCGTGCTCAAACTAATTCTAAAAATTCTAAACATCATAATAAACATGGAAGTGAAGTTATTTCAATGTTGTCTAAATCAACTACATCTACTTCTGGAGATAAGTCTGTTTCTCCACGTTCAACTTCACCTTCAACACCCTTTTTATTAACTCCTTATAAAAGGGCAACTTCAATAGAATCATCAAATAGCGAACAAACAACTGAAAATAATTCTTCAACCCCTGTGGCTGGTTCTCCTTCTAATGTTATTAATTCTCCTAGACAAACATCTTCTACACTAGTACTATATGATATATTCAAAGCACCAGCTGCTTTACTTAGACCAACTTTTATAAAACCAAATTGAATTTTCTATAAGTCTAAATTAGAAAAGGAATTAACACAAACCTTTGTCTAGTTAACAAAAAAGTGATTAATAGTTTTTTTTATTTCTTTTCTTATTTAACAAAATAAATTTTAATTAAATAGAAACAGAAAAACCTTTGATATAGAAGAACTAAGTCAAAAGACAGTGAATTACTTGAAACTAAGGTATGAAGCTTATTCATCATCTCCCATATCAGAAGTCCAAAGTGTTAAATTATCTCTTAATAATTGCATAATAAGAGTAGAGTCTTTATAACTTTCTTCTGGAACTTCATCAAGTTTTTGAATAGCTTCATCAAATGCTTCTTTAGCAAGTTGGCAAGCTTTGTCTGCATCATTCATAATTTCATAATAGAAAACAGAGAAATTAAGTGCAAGACCAAGTCTAATTGGGTGAGTTGGAACAAGAGATGCAGCAGTGTCAGTTGCTTCTTGATAGGCAGCAAGTGATTTATCAGCAACTTCTTTTCTTTTCTCATCAACAGTAAATTCAGCATAATATCTATAGTAATCACCTTCCATCTTTTTGAAGAAAACCTTACTTTCAATTGAGGTAGAATTTTTTAACAAGAACTCAGTAATAATCTTTAAAACATCATCACATTTTTGTGATAATTCTTGTTCGATTTTTGCTCTGTATGTTTTAATTAATTCTACTCTTTGAGTATTTCCTTTAGCTTGTTCTTTTTGTTCAAGAGATGATATAATTCTCCATGAAGCTCTTCTTGATCCTACAACATTCTTGTAAGCAACACTAATAAGATTTCTTTCTTCAACTGAAAGTTCAGTTCCCATTTCAGCTACTTGCTTCATATATTGAACCATTTCTTCATATCTTTCACTTTGTTCAGCAAGTTTACTTAAATAAACTAAATCTTCGCGTGAAGTCATCAACTGTTGATTTTAAGTTCTATCATCGGCTTCATATACCTTTAGTCGTTTGACTTCTAGTTCTTTTGTTATTTGTTTTACTATTCTCTTCATCCTATTTTTATCCAATTCTTATTTTAGTGATTTCAATGACTTTTTATAAGATTGTTATTTTTCATTTTTGATATAGCTTTTTAAGTTCTTAAAATTTTGTTATTATCTAAAATTTGTTATATATAGCATTATTTAAATTGCTATTTTAAACGTCCATAGTTTAAAAAATAACTGTTTTTTGTAATGATTGCTCCTATAATTTATCTTCGTTTTACCTTTTAATGTTTTGTTTCTTTTATTAAGCTACTCAATAAATTAATAACACTAAAATAATAAAGAATATTTCACAAAAACATATAAGTTCAATAAACTTATTATAAGGTTACTAATCAAGAAGAAAAATAATAAACAATAATATCAGAAAAAGAGGTTTTGTGGTATTAAAGAAAAAAGAAAAAAAGATTTTGTTATTATTTTTTTATTGGATAAAGATTGTCATTATATTAATTATGAATTGAATTAGTCTATCAAAGAAACTCTTTTTATATCAATTATAATTTATTTAGACTGTTTGAGTTCAAAAGTTTCTGATACGAATTGTTTAAGTAAAAATATGTTTTGTTATAAAAACTCTTTTGCGGTGATATTATTTTGAGAAAGATTTCATTTTGCTTAAAAACGTTTCAATAAATCATGGATTTTATATCTGCTTCTTAATAATTCTTCATTTAGTTTTTTGAAAAGATTTCTTTTTTTATTTTTATAAGATATGAGTTTAAGACAATGATTATTTTGAAGAATCTTTTCTTAGTATATTATTTTCTTTCATAAGATTTTTTTAGATATTGTTAATTTTTTATTATTGTTGACTATTGTCTTTTCTTTTCAATACTAAAACGATTCTTTTAGAATTGATTGTATGAGGCATTCAGAGTTTGTTTTAATTTAAGGGGTTTTATCAATTGACTTTGATCAGAACTTCAAATTCCTTTTGCATAAATAGATTGAGAAAAAAAGATTAAAAATCTTTCTACTTAAAAAATCATGAAGAACTTTTAAATAGATAAATAAAACACAATGCAAGAAATCATTGATCAATTTGCTATTGACAAAGAGAAGATGGAAATTATTGTTTCTAAACTTTTAGAAGAGATGGAAAATGGACTTCAAAATAAACCAAGTACTCTTCAAATGCTTCCAACGTATGCTCCTATTCCTACTGGAAAAGAAGTT